GTCGTACTGCTGACTACAGAGGGGTGTGACATCATTAAGGTGTTTCCATCAGACAACTAGCATCTGCAGCGATGCTGCCTTCCCACAAGGACGGGTGGGGTTAGAAAAGGTCGACCCTAAAAATGTCACACCTCACCTTACCTCACGGATTTTCGTCTCCGGCGGTAAAACCCTCTGAAGAACGGAGCTAATACGTCAAAAACCTCCCACAAAAAGGCCGTGCGCGACCGGTCTCAAGCAGTTGTCCCTTGGGCTCTGCGGTCACGCTCCCAGGTCATTAAGACCAACACTAATCCAATTTACTTTTCAGGTTTCTCAATAAATACCCTTCCACGGTGTGGGCAGCCGGGAAGTGACATCAGCCCTCATACCCGTAACAGCACACGAGACCAAGTTGGTCACATTCAAATCCTTCCTACACCTCCTAATACCTCTCTTATCTCCATGACTAACCCTCCTCACGTCTCTTTATCACCTCGCACCGCTAGAGCAAACGATTCGAGTACGTGGAACGCTTCTCCTGGTCTCCTGAAACCACGCTCTAAACTACACGTAGGAGCTTTTAACGTCCGAACATTATGCCAAACAGGACAACAGGCTTCCTTAGCTAGGACTTTAGAATCTCGCGCCATCGATGTGTGCTGCGTCTCCGAAACGCGCATACAGGATCTGAGTAGCGTCATTCATTTGACCTCACCATGCCAAAATAAAGAACTGACTTGATTCACACTTCATGTATCTGGAAGCCCTGATTCTGCTTCCCGTGGCCTCGCCGGCGTAGGTATAGCATTGAGTCCTAGGGCAGAACTTGCTCTCTTAGAGTGGATCCCAGTAGACAGTCGTTTGTGCGCTGTCCGACTGAATGGAACAATAAGGATCCGAAAAGATAGGGACACTCGTCGTTGCCTCTTCGTCGTCTCTGCCTATTCTCCCACTGACTGCAGCTCAGATGATGTAAAAGATGAGTTTTACAGAAAGCTTTCGGACCTTCTCCGAAAAGCTAAGCGCTCGGATGTAGTAATAGTGGCCGGTGACTTTAATGCTCAAGTAGGTAAACTAAGCGATAGGGAAAGACACGTAGGTGGATCTTATGGTGTCGTGGCCCAAAAAACAGATAATGGCGACCGTCTGTTGCAGCTATGCTCAGATAACCGCCTGTTCCTTGCGAATACTAACTTTAAGCATAAGGAAAAACATCTTTTAACATGGCGACCCCCGAATTCGTCCCAACGTTGGACCCAAATAGATCACATCGCTGTCAGCCACCTATGGAGGGGCTCGATAGAAGACTGTCGCTCATTCTGGAGCACATGCTTAAATTCAGATCATGCTCTAGTACGAGCGCGTATTTGCCTGCGTCTTACTGGACGTAGGAAAGACGCTGCAAGTAAACCTCTTAGGGTCCTACTTAATGATAGTCAAGCTAAGAGTATATTTCAGGAACAACTAGATAAACAGTTAGGCAGCCATGTATGTGATGCCCACCCCGATGCAGCATGGAATGATATCCGAAAAGCTGTGGAAACAGCAGTGATATCTGCTAGTAAGGTAAACCACAAGGTTAGGGAGCAACACTGGATCTCAGCAGCATCTACCGCATTGATAGATGCTCGAAAACTCATTCCACCTGGCTCTGAACATAATAAAGAGCGAAGTCAGCTTAAGCGCAAGCTGACAAGAAGTCTACGCAATGATCGTGAACAGTGGTGGGTAGCGAAAGCAAGATGTTGTAACGTGTGGATTGCAGATTATGATAGCAGCTTATATTATCGATCAGATCAATGACCTAGAGTCCCTATTGGCCCTGCTTCGCTGTCTAGCCCAGCCAGTTGAGTCCAGAACGCAAGTCTTAGCCTCTAAGATATGAATCATTATATTTCAGACATACTCTGTTTATATGCCAACCAAACAAAGCACATCGTATCATAAAATAGAAAACAACATTTGTACAATATTTAACAAGTGAAACAAATATTGACCAATAGGGAGTGTACATTTAAAGTCCAAGGCCACCATTAGACTTAACATGATAATTATTGGTATATTTTTCTGCACATCCTAACACAAAAGAGATGGAAAAGGCAGTGGCAATAGGTAATAGCAGACAATTGTTCAGACTCGTTAGGGAAACCGGTATTAGGAACCCGACTGTTAGCGAAACACTCACAGAGAAAGATGGACATATTATACATTCTCAATCCAGGAGATTGGATCGATGGGCAGAACACTTTAGGGATCAGTTCAACTGGCCTTCAGCCACACTTCAGTTTCCCACGATCTCTAGTCAACCTGAATGGCAAGTTAATGTAGGTCCTCTGTCTCTTTACGAGGTTGAAAAAGCCATAGGAAATCTGAAGCGAGGGAGAGCAGCAGGCCCTGACAGGTTCACTCCTGAGATTTTTAAGGATGGTGGTTCAGTATTAGCAGTAAGATTAACTGAGGTCTTAGGTAGAATTTGGGAATTGGATGCAATCCCATCTGACTGGTCTCAATCACTGATTGTGCCAGTCTATAAGAAAGGACAAAAGTCCTCTTGCGACAATCACAGAGGAATCAGTTTGACTAATATAGTGTCTAAAATATTAGCTTCAATAATACTTCGACGCCTAATCAAAGCTCGTGAAGAGCAGATTAGAGAAAACCAGGCCGGTTTTCGACCTGGACGTGGTTGTATAGATCAGATATTCACACTACGTCAGGTTCTAGAACACAGACACACGTTCAGACGCCCCTCACTGGTAGTATTTCTCGACCTTAAGGCGGCATTCGACTCTGCTGATCGTAAGGTTCTATGGCAGTGTTTGTCACTGAAAGGAGTACCAAAGAAGTACATTAACCTTATAAAGGCTCTCTACCCGAACACATCTGGCCGAGTGAGAGCTTATGGCGAACTGTTATCAGAATTGATTACCTCAAATGGTGTTCGTCAGGGCTCTCCACTCTCCCCATTCTTGTTCAACTTTGTCATTGACGTACTTTTAGAGATAACACTCTCCTCATCTAAATTTCCAGGGGTTGAACTTCTACCAGGAGGTTCACTTGTTGACTTAGAATATGCTGATGACATAGTTTTATTTGGTGAAGACGCTGACAAAATGCAGAGTCTTCTGACCACTCTAAGCAACAGTGCAAGCATGTTCGGGATGCGATTCTCCCCCTCGAAATGCAAAATGTTGCTTCAGGATTTGGGTGCGTTGACACCCGAACTAATGATAGGGAGTGAAGTAGTTGAGCGTGTCGACCGCTTCACTTATCTTGGAATTCTCATCAGCCCTTGTGGTCTGGTGTGTGACGAAATCTCAGCACGGATACAAAAGGCTCGACTAGCTTTTACCAGCTTGCGTCATTTATGGCGTAGGCGAGATATCCGTCTGTCAACCAAAGGACGTGTTAACTGCGCAGCAGTTCGTTCTGTCCTACTTTATGGCAGTGAAACATGGCCGGTAAGAGTAGAGGATATTCGTAGGTTACTAGTATTTGATCATAGGTGTCTTCGAAACATTGCTCGTATATCCTGGGACCATCGAGTAAGTAATGCAGTTGTTAGGAAACGGGTACTAGGTAAGGATGGCAAATCAATTGATGACGTAGTGAAACTTCATCAGTTGAGATGACTGGAACATATATTACGTATGCCCAACCACCGACTGACCGATGTGCGATGTTTTGTTGTACAGGAGTAGATTGGAAAAAAGCTAGGGGCGGCCAGACCAAAACATGGCACAAATCCATGAAGTCACTGACAAGTAGACTGAGTCATATTGGTAGGTGTAGACTACCTGGTTGGGGACCGCGAGATGATAGCAACCGATGGTTAGAGACCCTGAATGACATGGCTCAAAATCGTTTGCAATGGTGCAGGTGCATCCACTCTTTGTGTCCTCCCAAATTCTAATCTTCTGAATTCTTCATGTCCCTTTCGTTTTTCTCTTTCCAAATTTATTTCACTGGATTATAGTCCCTGAATAACATCTTCAAGCCCTAATTTTTCTGATTACAGCTTATAGTTTTACTACATCTAGCACTACGGGATTTGAATCGACCACTGTATCTCTGTGCTAATGTGGTGTGGCAATTCTATCTGATGTACGTACGTACGGAGTTCTATGTTGTTACTGACTGATTTTATGTTTCACTGGTTGAAATTATGAGTCAATTGAAGTTAGACCACCATGGAAAACCTGGAAGCACTAGAAAACCGTTTCGTCCTAGTGTGGCACTCCTCAGCAATGCGCATCCACGATCCCGCCCTTCGCGAGACTCGAACCCAGGACCTATCAGTCTCGCGCCACGCGCTTAACCAACTAGACCACTGAGCCGGCCGTCATCCAGCGCTGTTAATGTCTAAATCCAACCAATCCAAGAAGTTACGTCGCCATACACCATTGTCTTCAGCGAGTTGATATCTCAACAAACCTGGTTGAACTCTACTGGTCACGGTTTCTCACTAGAACTCCAAGAAATGCCTCTTGAAGTCAGTCTATTGAGCAGGTGATTATTATGAGAAGGGGTTATGTGGAGATTTTAGATATTAACACCGTTGGATGCCGGCTCAGTGGTTTAGTTGGTTAAGCGCCTGGTGCGAGACTGATAGGTCCTGGGTTCGAATCTCGCGGAGGGTGGGATCGTGGATGCGCACTGCTGAGGAGTTCCATACTAGGACGAAACGGTTTTCCAGTGCTTCCAGGTTTTCCATGGTGGTCTAACTTCAATTGACTCATGGTTTCTACCAGTGAAATCTGTAAAATCTCTACAAGACCCTTTCTGATAATTTTATGTTTGCCTAACAAATTTTTAAAATAAGATTTCCACATATAATACTTGTCAGCAATTTAAGTTTTTAGAACGTTAAATCACTCAAAAATATGGATAAATCAGACGTAGCTGTTCTTTTTCAAGTTTATTTTTTCATTCGGTGTAGTGAAATCTCGATTTTGTACTATGTTTTCTAAGGATTATGCATTTTAATCATGACTTCACTGCTCGCTACCATTTTTTAGGTATGCCCGATCCATTCACTGCTGCAGTTGCGGCTGCTGTAACGGGGAATTCTGCAGCTCAAGCAGAATATTATCAAGCTTATCAACAATACTATCAACAGTACTATGCTTCTCAATATGCAGCCCAGTTTTATTCCAGTGAATCATCTACAAATGGCGACTTAGCTAATTCTGGAATAACATCGATTGCCGGTGGTGGTACGCTTGTAGGCGATGCTACAGTTCAACAGCATGCATTCGTCGATGCTGCTGCCTCACATTTATATGCTAGAGCACTTCAGCAAGGCACCGGCTCACATGAATATGCCCCAGGTATTTTATATCACCATCCCATAAATCAGCAATTTATTTTTGTGTAAAACTATAATCTAGCAAAGAGTCACCGTAGTTCAGGGCTCACTTTTAATACTCAATTTTAATGCCGTAAGGGTTCGCTTTGTGTGGTCGGAACTAGTGTCTGTAATCCCTCTGAGTAATCACATTTTACTATCTAGTCAGTGATTTTGAATTCCTTTGCTTACTTCATTCACAGTATTATTATCATTATGTTTCCCTCTGTAGCTCGATAAATCTAAGGATCACTGTTTCTCAGTAAATCGTTGAAACATAAATAGACATCAAGTTTTTATCTAACAATAATTTATTTGTTTCTAGTTACCGTATTTTCTAAGTGAATTATCTCAGCACTGGCTACTCGTATTGATGACAAATCCTTATTCTGTACCATCGGAATAGCGGCACTTCAGGATCCTAAAAAACCGGATGACTTATTGTTGTAACGCTCGATTTTACTTCGACTAATGTTGTAACGGATGGGTTTCCACGTTTACACGTATGGGACGTTAATTTACCTTAAACGAGTATCTACATTAGATTCCCTACCAGTGTCTATACTACAGGACGTCAACACAACTCAAATCAAGAACACGTGATTAGCCTGACCACAACCCGACATAATCCAACAACAATGAACAATCAATAATGAGAGTCACAATAATAATAAGGATAGAGGGATATATAACCCATCTGACACCTGTCAGACTATCTACATGTCTGACTAAGCAGACAACCAATCATTATCATTCTCGTCCGCACATTACCTCCCTCGCAAAGTTTGATCGTATGACTTGACTTTTGGGTCTATTTGAAAAAATCCCGCTTGTTTTCGTCCCCTTAATGATCTTCGGCTAGCTTCTGATTCCAGCTCATTTTTTCTCATCCCAACTTGTGGTGGTGGTGGAATATTAAATGTATCACATAATACTTCCATTGGTAAAGTTTTGGCTTTAGGTGACTCATAAACATTTTTTCTGTCTCGCAGTTGATTGATGTGTTTAATAATTAGTGTATTTTTGACCATCACTTCATACAATACCGTCCCACATTTTTTTAAAATACATCCAAATATCCATTCTGGCTTTCCAGGCCGGAAACCACGTGCATAGACTAAGTCACCTGCTTTAAATTCTCGAATCTTCGGGCGATTCCCTTTCTTATTTTTTGTAGTCCATTCATTCTGTCTTTGGGGTTCAAAGCACCAAAAGATGTTTTAATTGGTCGGCCAAATATTGTTTCGGCTGGTGATTTAATCATATTGCAGACAATGTTCAACGGCCGGTCCCATAAACCAAATTTGTCTATCCAGTCAATACCTAATAGGTTGGTATGACAGGTTCCAGATACATAACATTTTCCGGTCATAGTCTTGTCACTGAACGTGAGAGATATCCGCATTTCTCCAAGAAGAGTAATGTTAGTTCCTGTCTCACTCTTAGCGTTCTAATATGTAGGTTGATATCGAGGTCAACTAAGTTTTATCCAAGTCTCTCTAGAAATTAGTGTTATGTCAGACCCCGTATCAATTTGCAGCTTAACAGGTTTACCGTTGAAAAACAGTTACGTACTTCCTCTTAGATGAATTGATCTAATAGTGTTGATATAAAGTGTTACTGTTAACTTCTCGTTTCACTCATTACTTTGAATACAAATAACTTCGTGCAAACCGGTTTTTCTTTCTCTTGACATTTGTTCCTCTTAAACACTAGATTATTATTTTAAATATTATGGGGTAGTGGTCACTTGACTACAGTTAAAATAATCGTTTACTGACAAATCTAATATACATAGTTATAGGCCTTATTATACTCCTTTATCATGGAATATGAAATAACGCTTTAAGTAAGTTATTCAATAATATTTTTTTAAATTACTATAATTTAATTAACCAGTCATGACATGGCTCAAAATCGTTTGCAATGGTGCAGGTGCATCCACTCTTTGTGTTCTCCCAAATTCTAATCTTCTGAATTCTTCATGTCCCTTTTTTCCAAATTTATTTCACTGAATTATACTCCTTGAATAACGTCTTCAAACCCTAGTGTTTCCGATTACTGCTTATACTTTTACTAACTCTACCACTATGGGATTTGAATCGACAACTGCATCTCTGTACTAGTTTGGTATGGCAACTCGAACTGATGTATGTACGTACTAAGTTCTACGTTGTTGCTGACTGACTAACTGACTAAACCAGTCGACCGTATTTACTATGGCAAGTCAGTTTTTAATTAGATTATTTTGTCATTAGCAAAGAAGAATGCTTTAAATTAACCATTACTAGTTTGTAATGTTTAATTTTCCTTTAACTTTTTTCTTCAAAATTTATTATGTAGAGCCACATGTTTTATCATCAGCTTGTGATCGTCCACGACATGTAGATGATTTAGATGAAGTGTTCAATTTTCTAGAAGCATCACGATGGCATGTCACTGATCCATCATTGGGATTATTTATTAAAATAAGACCATAACTATTTATTCACCTTTATTGTTCCTGTTTTTAGTAAAGTACGTTGTATTTTTATAAGTTTGAACAAAGTATATTGAGTTTCCTTTTTTTTTAAAAAAGTATTGGGATTATGTGATGTAAATACATTTCATGTATATGTATGTTTTTATTTTTGTTTCATATGAGTATTTGATTATCACTTTGATGTGTTCTTTTGTGAAACGATAATCTAGGATATTCAATAATATATTTTCCCAGTTTTATGGTTAGAAGTAGCCGTAGTTAAATAAGAATGTGTTGGGATTTTTTTTAAAAATTACGATATACATAAATAGATCTAAATCCCAGTAATAAATCTTCTACATGTTCAAGTAAAAACTGATTCGTTCGGATCATAGATGTTAGGCAAGTGATGTTGTTTCTAATTATGTAGTTCAAAAATATCTTAGTTGGTGTGTTATGAATTACTAATCTTATATTAACTATGTTGAGTTGCACTCTGTCTTGTTGTCTCTGAGTACCGCAAGCAGGTGACTACAATGACAAGCTTACGATCTAATTCAGAATAATAAATAAAACCTAGATGTAAATGTATGTAAACTTATTGAGGTCCATCTCGGAAGGTGAAATATCTTTACGTTAATATCACTAGTGTGTTATGCTCGTCAGATTGCTTTCTGAACTACAGTTACCCAGTGTGTTTTGCGTTTAAAGGACATCTTTGACTGAGGTCAGTCAGTCAGCTACAACCTAGAACCAGGCACATATATGCATCGGTCCAAGTTGCCATAACTCATTAACACAAAAAGATGGACACCGGATTCATAAAAGTAATTAATTCAGAAGTGGTAATATATAAAAGAAAGGTTGCAATAAGGATATAGTACGCGATGAAAGAATTAGTTCGTAGGAAGAAAGATATGAAGCGATTTTAATCTCTTAGTTTAAGGGAAGACAGTAAGTGAATACACCGACGCCATTGTGGTCGATTCTGAGTCATGTCACCAAGAGTCTCCAACCATTGGTTACGACAGTCACGCGGACCCCAACCAGGTAATCTGCATCTACCAACATGGCTCAGACTAGAAGTTAGTGACTTCAAGCACTGATGCCACGTTTTGGTTTGGCCGCCCCAAACTTACTTCCAACCATTTCCAGCACCGGTTAGCATTGCACGTCGTAGTAATCGGTGTTCGGGCATACGTAACACGTGGCCCAACCATCTCAGTCGGTGAAGATTCACAACCTCATTAACTGATTTACCATCATTCCCTAATACTCTGCGTCTAACCTCACTATTACTTACCCGTTGATCCCAACAGACGCCAGCAATATTCCTAAGGTATCTGTGGTCAAATACTAGTAGCTTACGAGTGTCTTCTACTCTTAATGGCCATGTTCCGCTGTCGTAAATTAAAACAGAACGGACTGCCACGCAGTATACTCGTCCTTTTATTGATAGACGGATATCTCGCCTTCGCCATAGGTGACGTAAGTTGGCAAAAGCCAAGCGAGCTTTTCGAATCCGTGCTGAGATTTCGTCAGACATCAACCCATTAGGGCTGATCAGACTTCCAAGATAAGTGAAGTTGTCAACGCGTTCGACTACTTCACTCTCTATCCTTAGTTCAGGTGTTGACGCAGACCAGTCCTGAAGCAACAACTTGCATTTAGAGGGAGAGAAGCGCATTGCAAACATTCTGGCATTGTTGCTTAGTGCTACCAAAAGACTGCATTTTATCAGCGTCTTCACCAAGCAGGACTATATCATCTGCGTATTCTAAGTCGGTAAGTGGACCTCCTGGAAGGAGATCAATACCCGAGAACTCAGTCGACGAGAAAGTTATTTCCATCAGTAGATCTATGATGAAGTTAAACAAAAATGGGGAAAGTGGACAGCCCTGACGGACACCACTTGAGGTTGCAAAAGCTCTGACTCGATTGGTAGTGTTCGAGTAAAGAGCCTTCACAAGGTTTATGTACTTCTGAGGTACGCCTTTCAATGATAGATACTGCCACAGAATTTCGCGGTCTACCGAGTCAAACGCTGTGCTTAAGTCGAGAAAGACCACCATTGTCGGACGCCGATAAGTATGCCTGTGTTCTAGAATCTGACGAATGGTGAATATGTGGTCGATGCAACCACGACCAGGTCTAAAGCCAGCTTGGTTCTCTCGTATTTGCAGTTCACGAGCCTTAGGCGTCTGATAATTATCGAGGCTAGTATTTTAGATACTATATTGGTCAAACTAATCCCCCTATGGTTGTCACAGGATGGTTTTAACCCCCTCTTATATATTGGGACGATAAGTGATTGTGACCAGTCAGATGGGATAACGTCTAACTCCCAAATCTTATTTAAGATATTAGTCAACCTAATCGCTAAAATTGAACCACCATCCTTAAAGACCTCTGGAGTCTATCCGTCTGGACCAGCCGCCCTTCCTCGTTTCAGATTAACTATAGCCTTTCCAACTTCTGCTAGAGTTGGGGGACCTACTTCAATATTCCATTCACACTGTCTGGGAATGGAGGGTAGTTGTAGAGTAGCTGGAGGCCAGCTGGACTGTTCTCTGAAATGTTCCGCCCATCGTTTTAAACGTCTGGACTGGGAGCTGATGGGAGGAGTCATACTCAGAGATTTTTCGACAACTAGCCTACTGTATTGTCAAGTCCTAAAATAAGTTTTGCACCAATGTTTTGATTAGCTATCGACAACCATAATCTCGAAAATACAGTAGTCACCACTTATTATTACAAGTATTGTTTTCATTCTCCAAGAAGTATTAATTACATCGTCTGAATCTTCGAGATCATTCGTTTCGATACCTCGTTAGTCCACACGAGAATGCAAAGATAGTGTGCTGTTAGTAAAACTAGATTCTCTCAAGCCTCCGAATGCGCTGGTACGGCCGAGAGTGGGGTGAGTCCGCTCTCCCTCTCGAAATACTCTCACACGGCCGCGCGTATACAGCCTCTGCCAGAGAAGTCCTACTCATTGCCTTCTCGTGGCGGGGGTGTTGTTTACGAAAATGAGAGGACGAAAAGCGGATGTCCGGCGCTTTAACCGGATCACAAACCAATGGTGCACATGGGCTCCAGTATCCTGCGGGAACAAATGGCGTATGAACCAATCTTTGGTGACCGGCTACCATGGGGTTGCATCTTCTACGATGCTCCACTGCCTTGTGGGTTAGACCTTTAGGTCAAAGGCTCGGGGAGTGGCCCCCTAAGATAACCACCTGCTTCGGTTTGGGCACCCGGGCAGTATCACAGCCCACACACAAACGATGAACTCTATGTCTATGGCAACTACTTTTCTCGCTCCGAAAAACAATCAGTCGATTCAAATAATTATCATTACTATTATTGTCATTATTAATACTATTATTGTCACTATTATTGTTATTATTGTTATTATTATTATTATTATTATCCACATTATTCACCCTCTTTTATACTTATACAGCGGCTCGTCTTTGGTGGAAATTCGACTGTATCTAAACGTTCTCGAGTCACTGTCCGATTGAAAATTGTATGTTACCACCGAATACGAGGACTGAAGCAGTTTTTCTGAAACCACGTGCACCATTCAAACTGGCTGCCTTCAACGTTAACACATTTATGCAGGTCGGACAACAGATAGGGCTGGCTATGTCTTTGGAAAATCTTGATATTGATGTTTGTTGTCTATCCGAGACCCGTATTCAAGACTCTGGCGAAGTACCACAAATTTGCTCTACATCTGTCGATTCAAAAAGCTTCTTTCACATGCGTTTATCCGGGGACCCTGTGGCATCTTCGTCTGGTCTTGCAGGCGTTGGTGTCGCACTAAGCGCTAGAGCTGAGGCAGCACTAGTCGATTGGATCCCCATTAACAGTCGGTTATGTGCTGTTAGATTAGAAAGTTCCATCAAGGTGAGAAGAAATCGGCGTGAGAAACGATGTCTTTTCGTCATCTCCGCCTATGCCCCGACAGATTGCAGCCCGGATGCAATCAAGGATGAGTTTTACCACCAGTTATCTGTTCTTCTCCAGAAAGTGCGTTCGACAGATATTGTAGTACTAGCCGGAGACTTGAATGCTCAGGTCGGGCGTCTAGGCACAGAAGAGAGTCGTTTAGGTGGCCGATGGGGACTCGTTGGTCGCAGGTCAGATAACGGGGACCGTCTACTGCAACTTTGCACAGACCACAACCTGTTTCTGGCAAGCACTAACTTTCTGCACAGTCATCGCCGATGTGCCACCTGGCGTCCTCCCTCTGCATCCCAAGCCTGGACTCAGATTGATCACATCGCGATCAGCTACCGCTGGCGTGGTTGTGTACAAGATTGCCGCTCCTTTTGGAGTACCTATCTGTACTCTGACCATGCCTTGGTCTGCGCCAATCTTGCCTTACTTTTCAGTGGACAACGAAGTGACTGCCAGCAAAGGATTGATATTAGCAAGATGGTTGCAACTTCTGTTGCAAATAAGTATCGAACCGAGCTAGCCTCTAGGCCAGCTACCACTCCACCGAAAAGTATAGATGAGCATTGGTTACAATTGCATAACGCCATGAAAATGGCGGGAACAGTCAGTTGTGGGTTTGCGAAACATCCCGCTTTTAAGCACTGGGTTTCTTTTGTTTCCTTACAACTCATTGAAGCCCGTCGGTCTACTCCGGGTGACCGTGAGTTTGACCATAAACGAAGGATGTTACGAAAGGAAATTGGGCAAAGCTTGCGTAAGGACCGAGAAGCCTGGTGGTCGATGCGTGCTAATGAGCTGGAAGCAGCAGCTGCATCTGGTAACTACCGGAAGCTCTTCCAGCTCATCCGAGCCACTGGCAGCAAGAAGTCTGGTGTGAGTGAAACAATCTGCGAGGATGATGGGATGCCAATCACTAACATCCATCGACGTCTTGGACGGTGGGCAGAATTTTTCGAAGGGCAGTTCAACTGGCCTGCTGCTCCGGCAACATCGGTCAGACTGTCCTGCCCTCCATGGCCGGTGACGACTGATCCACCAAATGAGGAGGAAGTCCGGAAGGAACTCCAACTCTTGAAGCGTTAAAAATCACCTGGCCCAGATGACTTACCTACGGCTCTTTTTAAAGATGGTGGTGACTTTTTGACTAAGGAATTGACGACGTTGTTTACAAAGGTTTGGGAACTAGAGAGTGTACCAACGTCATGGAATGAGTCGATAGTTGTCCCT